CATTCAGATCTCAGGACCGTTATCTAGCTAGATTTTCCAAATGGATCAGGAAGTACAAACCATGAGAGTACCAGGCTGCTCTTTCTCTCTCTCTCACACACACACATGCTAATCCTTCCACTGCTCCATCAATGGTTAGGTGAAATACTCGACATTTTTGAATAAAATCGCTGACCTCGATGATCCCATCACTTATCGCGCTCCCATTATCACGTGACTGTGTGTGAAGCACTGAGCTCCCTTATTCCATGTCATCAATACAGGAAGAAGATAAATGTCGCAAGATGTTAACATTTCGTTTAATCTTCTCAGTCGCTGACTTAAAAAAACAGGTATTTATAAAGCACGTGGGGCTGCTCAACTCAGACTCTTTGCCTCCACTCGTGGAATTGATTTGGACAAACGTAAACATGGATGGCAAGCCGTTTCGGTCTCACACACTGCATATCAGTTGACCTACAGCTGCGATCACGTATTCACAGGCAGAACAAACCATCAGCTCGCACAACGGGTGGCCGAACATATTCCAAAGNAAAGTGTTTGGCGAAACCCATGTCTCAACCGAAAACTGATGGTCATGTGATTGCAACAAATCCAGGGTCAGGTGTTGCAAAACACCTCATGACAATAAGACACACAGTTGACCCAAATTCGTCTGTCAAACAACTACTAGGTAATCGCAATGCTAAACTTTTGGCGCTTAGTGAAGCACTGCTTATTCGTTTACATAACCCGACCTTGTGCGCACAAATGTTTTTGATATAATCAATCCACTTACCATGGAGTTGACCTTCTACTTCTATAGTTAGTAATCTCTATATGCTTGTACATGTTCGTTCAGCATAATTGATTAACCCCGGGTGCTATATATGTCCCTGTTTGTTTCATGTCAGTGGTTTGCAGTCTAGGGAGGCATAGCCTGCTTGAAATAAGGAGCGGGAAAGACTGAAAATACACTCTACACACTTCGATATGTCAGGACTGAGATCAGATTAGTCAGAAAACTGTGGGATAGAGTTTCAGTAAAGGAATGAAATTCAGAAGTAGACGAGACTATCTGACACAAAATAACGTAATCAGCATACTTCTGGATATGCTCAGGGACGGGACCTGAAAGACCACTAATAAAAGCAGAAAAAAGATATCGAGATAGAACATCAGCTTGAAGAACACCAAAATTATTAACAAGAGGTTTTCATATCCTCCTTCCTAATTTGGTGCATTGAACACTCTCTGTGAAATAGTTAGAAAACCATGGGAGCAGCAGTCTTGGAGTGGCAAAGGATTCAAGTTTGAAAAGACGGGATGATTGAGAAACAGAATCAAATGCGCAAGAATAGTCAAGAAAAAGAACACAACGGAGAGACCTGGCCGAACCGTTCAATAATTTGCTATCAATCACACACATGACTGTGTTGCAAAATCAAAGGAATTTCTCCATCAGGACATAAATCTAGAAGGAGAAAACCGACAATATCAAAACAAGACTATGATTGTATTTAATCGCAACGGAGAACAGTTGCACAAAATCAATCTGGAGAATAGCTGAGGCTGATTAATCAGTTTTCCTCACGCATTCATTTGGGAAATGATGGCTCGATTTGAGGTGCAGCCGAGGCCACGAGAAATGAAGCCATTATTGAACGCCCAACAAAGCAGAGCCTGTTGTATTGATTTTACAAACAAATTCAAACTGCATCGCCCATTCATTGCGCAATGGGTTTATCTCACTTGTAAACAACGAGTAATTCAACATGCGGTGAAAACTGAGATAGTTTTCCAATGAAATTTTCCTTACCTGTCAAAAGAAATAAATATTCATTCTGGTTGACCAGTTGGAAGGCAAGGAAATACTGAGTGCTATCTTATTGGTCTCCTACACACACCTCTCTGGATATTGCAGTGTTTTGCACTGATAAAAGGAGGTTTTCGGTAACTGCTACTCTTTGAATGCATTCGCGGAAGTCATACATTTCATAGATTAAGGTTGGTATATCTCCTCGCTTGAGGTTGGTAGTAGAAAATCGTTAGACTTAATTAAATAATATTTTTTCACATTTATACAATCTTTGGAGGGGTCAATTTTAATGTCAAATTCATTTAATTGCCGAGAAGTATCTGGGATATTATGTTAATTCAAAACTTTTTCCTGTATCAGAAACAGGGATACGTCAGCTGCGCCGACATTGGTCGTCCCTGGTTTAGGCTATTAGAGGTTTAGGTATTTGAGGAAACCGGCAAATTGTGTTTGGCAGTCAACTTGGTGGATTTCATGCTAAAGCGACGGCTTCCAGCGCTCAAAAATGAAGAAGGCCAAATAGAAGACGAACGAGGTGAAAGTTCGATACCTGTATGAAGTATATGAGAAATTCAAATAAATAAATTACGTTGTCTACTGTGACTTTGCTACTTTACAACTGATGCACCAACAATCATTGTCAAAATTGAGAAATCGTGCATTTTAATGGCCTGTAGCTAATAGAAGCATTGACATAAGTGGGTATTATATCAAATATGTTGCGTCTGATGTGGGGCAATATCATATTCAGTCCCGTGAATGAGGCTGAGAAAACGAAGCAGAGAGAGGAAAAATGTAATGAAAATTAGGATATTTCACGAGTTTGGTCAGTGCCTATTTAAAAATTATACATCATCTTGCTAAATCACAGCGAACGGACGTTCACAAATCAACGAAGATTACTAAATATTGAAGTGCAGCGTCAACCGAACGGTAAGAAGATTGATTATGCCAGGAGCTTTTGTGGGTGATATAATGAACGAAGTGACGATTAGTTACTGGAGGTTTGAATGACTGTATTAGGTTTACTGTTACGTAATAGCAACGTCATTGTGGTATTTTTAGAAAACAGGCCCGTGTTCGACTAGATCACTCACTTTAAAAAGGGACAAAATTAATCCGTCTACCGCGAAATTGAACTTTTACCTCTATGTTTAGTTATTTCTGTCTCATTGTACACCATGACTGACAAAATCGATGTGCCATGTATGTATTTCGGCTTGTTACACTTCAAAGATTAAGGAAAGTAAATGGAATCCGGCAACTTCTGTTCTATTTCGGAATCGATAAAATGATTGATCACCTAAAGTGAACTTGACAATCGATCATTTTTTCGAGGATCTGTCGATTCCAGCCGCTTATGTCCTTTTTCTAATCACTGTCCAGAATGAAAAATTGTTCGTGGAAGTTTATCCAAAGAAAGCGACGACTTTGTTGTGACAAAAATGCCACATTTTCTAACACGCGAAAGAATCATTGATAAAAGCTGGATTCATTCAACGTACCTGTTGAAAAATTGTTTGCAGGATTAGGCGCCATATGGGTTATAGTTGCTCAGTTGTGTCAAATGATTGAGAGCTGTGTGAAGATTTTTTGAACGCAATACGAAGACTAAGGATCGAGACAGAATATGGGGAGTAACGAGCTTAAAGTGTCTGTAGCATCCATTTTTATGAGTGGGATTTCGCATTTCAAATAATTAATGAGTAGCACTTCTCACGGATTGTATCAAACATCTCTCCACTGGGCTTCGCATTTTTGCTTTGGTGTTCCGCACATCCAATATGATCCAGTTCCAATCCTCATGATCGGTGCTTTAATAGTGACTGAGTGTCCTACATTGTTGGTTTTTATTCGGTCCATACCGACTTGATGTGGATGTATCTGCCTCGGTGATGATTCTATTGTGGACCGTGGCTACTGAAGCTCAACAAATGATTCACCTTTGTGATCAACAAGCCGAACTCACTTCTGTCTCTCGGATTGTTAACAAATTATTACTGAGGATAGATCTACTTTCCAGTCTCTTCATTTTTGAGCTTGATCGATTTCGGTCATTCAATATGTGTATCTGCCGACAACTTTAACATTCTCACATTCAGTTATGATAGTACCATGGTATTGTGGGAGACATTGCTGAGAACGGGGAAGAGAAGCACTTGTTCACTTGTTCACGTATAATCATAGTGCCCGGAATTCCGCAAAACGACAGTCACCCTTTCTCACACACAATACGAATTTGTTCTCACAGTGCACATCACAAAAATGATCCGTTTCAGAATGCACCACATCGATCGATACACCGGCAACTGGACAACTCAGTTGCCTCAAGGGTAGGCTATTTAACACCGCAATATATCACCCATGCAGTAACAAAGGGTTATGAAGAGCATTGGAAGTGTATTTTGCTGATACTATATATTTTACGCTATTTCACACTTACCCAGGGTCTCTTAGCGAACGGTGTGTAAAGGATGCGTAGTGAATAGTCATTGATTTCGTTTATTCATATTGTTTTTCTGTTAGTTTTCCGGGTATTACAAACATGGTACAAAATATTACATATCCTTATTTCCACATGTAGCCACTATGCAGCTTTGCAAATTGCTAAGCATCATCATCATCTTTTCGGTCCACGGGGTTGGACTGAGTTGACGTGCCTTGCTTAGACTATATCAATGCGATTTTCTATGAGAGCTGGAAACGTATTATTTTATGTGGCCCACCTGAAGCTATCATCCCTTTCTTTATATCGTAATAAACGGGAAGCGTACAGATTGCCGTTTTGGTAGAGACTGTCATTCTGGCACACAATCTTCTTAAACATTGTTTTTCAAAGTAAACAACTAAACTATTTCGGTGAACAAATGAAATCAATGAATGTAGCTGATTTCAAGTTTTCTCCACGGTGTTACTTCACGGACGGTTGACATCTTATACTGTCTACATTTGCATTCGTGCAAAACGATCGATAGATAGACTTTTGAAACCATATTCCCGCAAGATTTCAAAACACAATCGATATGTACTCAAAATTCATGTAATGTATTCATCTTTTGTGGAATAGGAGAATAATAAGGTCTACTGTTCAGAAACCGTTCAAGTTAAATGTAGCACAGAAAAATGTAAGTTTCCCCTCCCCGGGGGTGGGGAGGTGGGTGGGAAAACCGGGCACCCCGGTTCTCCCCATTCGACCAAATCGCTATTTACACAGAGAATAAAAATGAGCCAGCTCATCCGGGGTCATGCTAACCACACTAGGCTGACCACTTCGCCTGCGCGTGTCTTTCCCGTAGTGCAATAGCTGACCGTCCGATGCTCGATGCCCCGGTTGTGTCTCCAATAGAATCTTCTCCTCTTCCTCTTCAAAAACGAGGCAACCTTCATTCAGTATGCCAATGATATGATCGATCAGATGAGCCCAGGCCCTGCGAACGTCATCGGTGAATTCTTCATACATTAAACTCTCCCAAGTCATCAAGATGGCTTGTTTGAAAACCTGAAGTGGGGTACAACAAGGTAGATCACGATATGTGAGAGGAAGAGGTTGAGAGATCGGGGGGAGATGTTTCAGGAAAAGAGTAGAAAATGTATAAAGTGGTGTGCATATCCGAGGCATAAACGTGTCCCTGAAAGAATGCAAATCAGTGAATGGCCTTGACCCGTTCGATGTAGACGTTGAGTTAGCTGGTGAACTGGTTTAAAAATGCATAGATTTATACGGAGCAATGTGTCCCGGCCATATGGAGTCCCCGTCACTTAATTAGATTATGCTCTTTCATTACCAGCAGCGCATTCTGTTTTGATTCTGATAGCGCTAATTACTCGATCGCATAAAAGATGATTATGCGTGTAAAATGAGAGTAATACACACATGGATGGTTCCAAGTTGCGGGAGATGCTGAGTTGTTGAGAATCTTGTGCAATCGTTCTTCTCATAGGAGTTTACATAAAGGTTAAACAACTAGGGAATGATATGCGTGGTGCTTATTGCTAATATTGCTCGATCGGATGTGGATTGAATCTGACGAGTTACGAATATCATAACGAATATCATAACTGAGTGGGATAAGAAAAGAAGTTTTCAAACTGAGCATTGCGCTACCGACTGAGTCTGGTGAGAGGGGGTGACGCCGTGTTGTCGGGGAGAGAAATGAGTACTCACTGCCGCTAAATTAGTCTTCGTTTCATGTCTGGTGGGGTGTGTGTGTGTGCTGAAAACCCATTATGGGAATTCGGACACCACCGTCGATCCTAAAAGGTCTGAGGAACAACGATGAAAACACCTCCGTTATTACAGGCTTTGTGCATGGAAATTGAAGCCTGTATAGTAGTAATATTATACCACTTATGTCCTGAACGAGGTATCCGGGTATTCACTGGTGTCGACTGCAGAAAAATGCAGCTTTTATTTAGCGGTACAGAGTAAATTCCTCAATTAACTTGGACGGGATCATGAAAAAGCCACCCAGGGTGATGAACAAGAATTTAAAGACAGAAAACGGGATTAACACCGCTTAATTCCACGATCTCGAGCACTCGGCCATTATCGTTAGAACAGATCGCTCGAAGATCGCTGATATACATATATTTCATAATAAGTAGCATGTGAATGACTGGACAAAATTTCCCTGGAAGTACACGACCGGTTTCGCAGTTCTTGCCGCTCGTCAGGCATGCGTATCCGGTAATCTTTTGTCAGTTCATTCATATACTTGTACTCAGAAAGTGTTTTTTCGTCACAACCTTGTTTGCAACACCGCGTAACCATTGGATATACAGCTCTTTCAGAGCCAGTCCAATGAAGAATCAATGCTACGATTCGATGTTTTGTAAGTGGGTTAGATGCTACGAACCGCAACAAACGTGACCTGATCGTCTTGGTAGAATATTTCATTATATATATATATATATCTGTGTGTGTGTATAGAGTGGACCTCAGAGCGCTCCGTTACCTTTTAATCGAAATCGTCTACAGCGGTATCACTCAGGTTTGTGCGTCGAGGCTAAAGGATAAGGGGTCGTGGCTAAATCATTGAGGGTTTTGGCTAAAGGTTTATGGGTCCGGGCTAAAGGACTACATGTTTTGGCCATCGCTTGATGGGAAAAGGTGTAGAACTATTTGGTTACGTTATTTCCGTGGGATGGAATAAAATTTGTCACCTCAAGATGTAGACGCTGACGAAACAACTGATTTTTCAGTTATTACCTCCCCGAGAACTACCTGTTATCAGTATCACAGGCTTGGTTAACCATTACACAATTGTCATGACAACATCATAAAAATTCGAATTTGGCCTTTCCACACCATGCATGTGGTGAGTACAACATCCACCGCCGCTGGCGAACCAGGCGTGCACATGCACGCACTTGCCTTGAAATATTCCGTTTTCATACCGGGGATTGCGGCATGCCGGGCACCGAGTAGCATCATTCGTTCGTAGAATTGTTCCCGATCCCCGCCGTTCAACGAATCGATCGCCTCGGTGAACACATTCATAAAGGCCAAAATATGTCGACTTGCACGTTCCATGTTCTCCTCGGAGTCCAGATTGTTTTGACTGTGATCAAAACACCAGTGTGTGTGAGAGAGAAAGACAGAGAGAGTCAAATTCAAATTTTCAATAATGGTTAGATTACGAAAGTGATACTTATTGATTCCCATAGGATCTTTCTACATCAAGTTCGGTTGATAGTACAATTAAATAGCAAATTATAACGATCACTCTCGTGCGATGGACAGATCGGTGTTTCAATGTTTCACCGAGCCAGGACTGAACAAATCGATGGTTGGTGCACAAACAGCTTGAGATGGAAGAGAGTTCCAGGTATTACTACCTATGAGACTAAAAAATGACGTCTGCAGTCTGGCCGACTTATTTGGAGCAAACGTTTAAATAGATGTCCTCTGAGGTGACCATTCCTGGATAGTGTTGGTAGAGTACTGGTCGAAGGAGCATTGCAACTACCCGCAAATTGTCCGACGTTTAGTGTCATAAATTATGATAAAAGGACAAATATACAGCCGGAAGAAAAACAGAGGCAGGCTTGTGACACCTATACGCATTTAACATTGTATTGTATTCAAGCTTTAGTGAGTTACAAGCTTTCAGACAGAAGTTTGTGTGTGAATCTTAGTTATTAAAAGATTGGGTTTGTATACTGGCGCTAATAATCGACGATCGGTGAAATAATCATTTTAGGATGACATAAATCCTAAAATACACTTTACTGGATATCATATTGATTCGGTACACAAGATGGTCTCCGAATTTGGCACATGCATGAGAATTAGGAATTTCTTGCTGAATTTAAAATCAGACAGTTTCAATCGAGCTGACTGGTGTTGCACAGACATTGCGAACAGATAGTCTACGACTGATGCTCATCACGTGATCGAGTGCCATGAGACAACATATCCGTTTGGGACCTGGTTGCTAACTAACATTTCCACGCGCTAATCAGCACAGCGTTGCTTTAATGGTTGAGAAATTGGAATCCCACCAAAACCCACAAAATGCCCCATTTTGGCGGCTAATGAGTTGTAAAAGTTTCTCTTGAATGCAAGAAAAGCATAAGAAAGCTTAAAATGTCCGGCAGAGGAAGGGACCACAGGCTACGATGAAGTATCACTGTAAAAGTTCATGTCATCCATGTATTGTGTGCAACCAGGAAAAGTTAGGTGTGGTGAACAGCTGCATTTGCTCTCACGCTCCACGTACTCACTCCGCGCCCCTCCCCCCACCCCCGACTGACGTTCCTTTGAAGTTCCGCCATCTTTTCAATAATCCAATAAAATCTAAATAATGAAATCGGTTAACTACTCGGGAAACCGTCATAGCTGTTCACAGCACTATATTTTACACATGGTTAATAGTTTACGACGACCGTGAGTCCAGTCAACGGTCTTATTAACTTCAGAACTCGTTGAGGTTGTGTTACATACATTATTTCGCTGTGCCAATTCGATAAGACTACTTTCCAGTGAAGTATAGGTATATTCAGTCTCGCTGGAACTCATCCACAATTTCTGATTTCGATGTACTTGTTGATACTGGAATCACAAATAGTCGGGATGGGGAGCCCTTACCCCCGTGAAGCTACGCGATCGAGAGGCCAACACCTGATAACTGCAGTCCGAACGAGCCTAAGCGACTCTTGCAGGCACCAGGTGCTGATCTTATTGTGTTACAGTTGATGGTTTATTTAGTCCCTACTCGTGAAATATATTTCACATGTTTGACACA